AAAACTTTACCCTCGGCTTCATGCCAATTCCAGCTCTAACCTTTTACTTGCTGATAAGATAGAAACCCGTTTGTCACCGCAGGTCGGAATGGCAAAACCCCAGCCCCAGCTACCAGAAATCGTTTTCGTCAGCGAACAAGTCGCTTTGGAGCCATCACTCGGCTGGTTGAGAGCCTGGCGTCTGCCAACGAATATCATCAAATCGTTGATGCAACCATTCCTGAACCGAATCATTCTCTTCTCAGAGCTCCAAGATGGAGAGCGCAGCTCCAGCCAAGACAATCCGCAGTTGGGCGACATCGACTTTTTAGCCGAGGCGAAGGATAGTATCCACGACAGTGAAGGTACGAAACAAGAACCAGCGACGAGTCTAAAAAGCCTCTGCACCATTGCGGTGGATCAGCAGAGTATCTCGAGTCAAGATAGCAGTGGCCCAAACAGATGGTGCATTGATGTTACCGTAGGGGGAGTAGTAGCGGTGTTTACTCGATTTGATACTCAATCCGACTCGCATTTCATAACTCGACCAGCTCTCGTCCGAATTATCAACGCCGGAGTAGAGGTCAACATCAGACCTATTCCACCGGGAAAAGTCAATAAGTACGAAACTCCAATTCGAGGCTCGACGTTCATGCCACAACACGATGTCAAGTTATGGATGGAAAACAAGGAGATTCGTTCAAGGAAAAAGATCGCCCTGAAGATTATTGAGGACACAGATGCCGATCAGATAATTATCGGAAACAACCTTCTGACTCTTGAATTCCTTGCCCGAGTTGAAGAAGCCAACAAAAGAACCTCAACGTCGGCAGATAGCACAGACTTCCTAGCAACTCTTGTCAAAAGGAGACGAACAAAAAGTAAGTCTTCCAGCACAATACAGTGTCTCACCAGAGAGACTAACCATGTGCCAACAGAAGAGATCGAGGCCGCGGCCGCTAAAGACAAGGCAAAGCGGGAAGAAGACCACGAAAAATGGCTCCGCATTCAGGAGCTGAAGAGCAAACAACCAAAAACAACGCCGCAAAGCCCTTGGACTGGAGTTCGGCAACGGCTCGTGGGTGAACCTTCAGCGATGATACTGAGCGATAGCCGCCACTCCAGTCACTCGACTCAAGCGACGGTTCTCAATGAATACAATGACGGTCATCAGTCTGCGCATTTGCAAGACCGAATCCACGAACAATATCATGGTTCACAACCTTTTGAGAATCAAATGTACTACAATGCTCCCAGCACTCGATCGATTCTACCAGTGCAGGGCTCTGAGGTGGCGGAAATACAAAGCCAGAGATCCGGGACAGGATCCTCGCAATACACACATTACTCCTTCTCTCAGCATACAATGTCCTCGATGTCCAGCGCCCCTTCGTTCGTCACAGACATGAAGCCCGGCTCGCGAAGCAGCAGCTGGTTTGACGATGATGATTTTGAATAAAGGTTAGTGAATCAATTAGCAGCATCGTTGTGAGAACAAGCTTTTTTAGATCCGCGAGCTAACTGGCTTTCTAGCCCATCACGGATAAAGGCCCGCGCGATCGTCCGATAATTTACGCTTGTGCACATATATCCGCATTCTGCACATTCTCCCTTATAATAATTCGATAGCTTGACTGTATCTTATTTCGCTGCATGGTTTCAAGCATGCACATATGGTACATTGACGGGTGGTTGGCTGGTGTTCACGGCGCGAAGATGACATGGAGTTTCTCGGCGATTGGTAGGCGGAGCAGGGGCGGATGTTTCGTTCTTAGTAGTGACATTAATTACGGATTTCTTTTGCTTGATGACTTTTTCCTTTGTTTCGTTATGGACGTACGTTGTTGATGGTCTGAATTTGTGGTGGCGGGATACGGATGGAAAAATGGATAAGGCACCGGAACTGGTGATGGTTTAGCTTGAATGAAAAGTTCAACTGGCGGATTTGGTTTGATCATTGAACAGTAGATACTTTTTACAAGATGAAAGCAATTTCCCCTACGATTCTCGTATTTGTTGGCTTTAGCGTGCAAACGTGCCAACAACCTGTGCCACCGGATGCAACTCTCCGTTGGCCCACACTCGCGAGATGACCTCTCAGATATTGATCACTAAAATTCTAGCGTCAAGTCGAAATTCTGTGAGAGCTTGAGGACACAGGTCTCATAGTGTTGTCACATTTTAAGCTTTTGCCTGTACGCATGAGAAGACGTTCATAGTGAGCCTCCATTCCAGTCAAGCGAGCATTTCATGTCTACACTTGGAATCTAAGCCAGATTAGCGAAGGGATGATTGGAGCGAGACAAAAGAAGACTGTACAAGAGCGTCGGAGGAGTAAAAAATGAAGCAGGCTCGGTTTTTGGTATTTTCGGGGTCGTTTCGTACTGCCAACACGCTAAGAAATAGCAAAGTGTCTTGGCTCCAAGTACAACTAAGCAGCAACAACCACAACTTAAACGCCAAAGACCCAGTCGAACCGACGAACTCTATTTTCGAGAAGCAATCATACCAGACTTCATCCGAAGTCAGGTGAGATCACGTTGCTTACAAGCCCAACTATTCTCACCTGTTGCCTAACAGTAAGCCAATTGTGTATGGGAACCGGATTATCTATATGCATCGAGATACAGAGTGAGTTCGAAGAGTCATACATGCAGCTGTACTGTATTTTCTCCACGTCATGGTCGCTATTGACAACACACGAATTTGGAGATGATCAAAAGCATGTGACGGCATCAATGATAGGAAATTTTTAATTAGGCGAGTCGTGGTGTTGGACGTTCGCCAACTCTTAGATTAGTTAGATGTGGAGCACAGTTGTTGGCTTGCCGAAAGGTATTTGAGGTGATCAGATAGCTGTACAACTTGCGTCGTAATAGGTCTTGTCTGACGTGTTATCTTGGATTCTACAAAAGTAGAGCTAAGTAGATAAGACATCGTATCTTATTTATATGTGTTCGTGACGTAAATATGAGGAACTTATCAAGTGGCCTCTAAAGATTTTATTTAGAGAAAGCTAATCTTGCTCGTTGTTAGACCAGATGGCTTTGCACAGACTGTGAGATTTTGTACTAACTAGGAAATTTGTTAAAGACGACAGTTTTATTTTGTACAGACTCTATGTAGATCAAAAAGTCATAAGCAGACTGGACGGTTTTGCACAGACGAGAAGATTTCGCGTCAACTGGGAGTTTTTGTGCACCAAATGAACAAGTTTACAGCATTATAACAACCTAGGTAATCAAAGATCCGAGGGAGAAAACTCGAACATGGATGACGCGCGTTCGAGCCCAGTTCTAGTCTGGATCAGTTCGCCTATGTCTTACAGCCCCTACTCGTACCCTATTACACGTTCGCACCAATGTCTTTTCGCCAGGAGCACTATGGTCGTAAGGTTACGACGCGTCTGCTTCCGGGCATGGTCTCTGGTTAGACATCAAAAATCGCCTACGCACATCCCGGGCACGGCAACGTATTCCATTGTCATTAAGCCGAATTCCAGCGCATCTAACCCCATGATAAAGCGAACCCGGATGTCTGGCAATTATCAAGAATACTCCATGGAAGCCTTCACGCGGTTAGACAGTCCCGTGGGTGAAAACCACAGCGCCCATCAACATTCTAGAGCTTCATCGTTTCAGAGGCTAGGATGCTAAAGAATGTCCAAATAGCTCGCGAAATTTACGCCGATATAAGGTAGGACGAAATTAGCTATTGATTGCTGGGACGCCGTTGTGAAAAGATGGTCCAGCTGTTCATTTGCTAGGGGCTTCCCAATCGACGAAGAGCATCTTCGGAACTGATCATCCCTTCTTGAAAGCCAATTGCCTTGGCCAGACTCTTTGCCTCTTCGAATCGTTTCCTAGCTTCTGCAATGTTACCATCCATCTCCGCAAATTCCCCTAAATTGTGAGTTGCTACAACGCAACCTACGTCGCACTCTTCGGTTCTTTCAGGCGGGGTTATAGAGTTCGCTATTGCGACAGCTTTTTCTGCCCATGCCCGCGCGTTGCTGACGTACTCCGCACGAGAAGCTGGAGGCTGCCCAGGTGTTGGTGGCGGCACTTGTTGCGCGAGCGAGATGGATAAATTGTTCACTAAAACATCAATACGTTATCTGTGAGGGCCATGAGCATTTCAACTTACTGAGGACAGCAGTATGGCATGTCTTCTGAGAAGAGAGGGTGATGGCTTGAAGGAATAATGGTGCTGCCAGATAATGTGTGTTTGCCTCCTCGTAATGATGAGCCAATGCTGCTAGATGTCAGTCTAGATTTCGTAGCAGTGTTAGCTGCACTTACATTCCACGGCAGCACCTTGCTCTTCAGGTGATAGCCAGTCACCTTCCTCGGGTTTTACTCCCTCTTTTTCGCGCCTCTGATGCTCCTTCATCATAGTCGTCACCGCCCATACAAGAGACTCCTCAGCTTTCTCCTTCTCCAAAACGTATTGGTTGGCGTATAGCTCCCCTAATTTGACGCTGACTCGAACAGTGTACATGAGAACTCTCGTTCTTTTTGCTTCGTTTCCTTGCTTGTTGCCCAATACCTCCATCCACTTTAGATTGTCGGACTTTACAATCTCCAGCACATCAATAGCTCTTTGATAATTGTGCACCTTCTCTAGCAGTGCCGCGAGTTGAACCTTGACACCAATGATTTCATCTGAAAATGGATCCATTCCAATTTCCTCAGCGACTCGAAGAGCTTCGAGGTAATATTTGACAGCATTTTTGGGCTCCAAGGAAATGTTGGTGAAATATATAGCTTTGCGCATTTGTTTTGCAACCGGCTCTGGAAATTTGTGAAAGGCCCCAATGATGTAATTATGATAGAAGTAGTTCGTATACAATAGAGCTCCGCCGCCGATAGCAATGCTATAGCCAGTCAATAAATAACAGGTTGTCGCTGGAACACAGGAATACCTACAATACCATAGCAGCCGTAACAGAGAATGGTTGCGCCCGCCATAATGCCACGAAAGCATTCTGCTTCTTCGTCGAATGTTGTTGACACCGTAACTGTTGCATCTGGTACGATATCGGATTTCGACGAATCTCTTCGAGTCGTTGTTGTCGCAAACATTGAGACCCCCGATTAGAGAACATGCGAGCCACCCCCGAGATCTTGGGTCTGAACATGATGCGGTTGCGCTTAGTGTGTGCAATTGGTACGAACTGCAGGGAAATTGATGCTCAATTGCAGATGTGTTTGATTACTTTAGAACGAAGCGTCATGCTCTTGATGGGCACCTAAAGCTTTCTCCGATCTGCATTCCGAGTACCCGATATTGTACCGGCGCGACGACCGAGGCCCCCATAAACCCCGCGCTAGTATCCCAAAGTCCGTCGAGACAACCAGCTTGTTCGTCATTCCCTACTAATATCGCATTTCAGACTCTTCCCTTCAACACTTCAATTATACCCGCAACAGTCACACGCGCTACAATGGCTGGAAAGTTTGAGCCCAAGACTCCCGTCGACCTCGCACCACCAAAGGACGATCCGATTTCGACCGAGTTCCTTTCGAAATGCAACGGCAAGCCCCCTTTGGTTCCTCGTAATAATTCTCGGTTCTGAGAGCTATTACCTGTTTATACCGGTGGAATTGTAGCTGACAGATTGCCCCAGGAGATGAAAACAGTGGTGGGTTGTGTTATGTTGCCATCAAGGTATTTTTCATCCAGATTCGGATCCTCGAAAATGTTATTAATCATCTACTAGGGGAGAGTCTTCGATGTGAGTCGCAATAAGATGTACGCACCTGGAGGTTCTTACCATGGTGAGTGCGTTATCCGCCGCCTCCATCGGCAGTAAGACCTTGCTTAGAATTCTAAACATGTACCGCAATCGCAACCCGCTGACGAAAAATGTTGTAGTGTTCGCTGGACACGATGCTTCCCGTGCCCTTGGTATGACATCCACGAAGGCCGAAGATGTGGTACCAGATTGGTCACCCCTTACAGACAAAGAGAAAAGTGTACTTGAGGATTGGTTTATGTTTTTCTCAAAACGATACAACATTGTCGGTATGGTTGAAGGCGCGACAAATCAATGAGCACCTTCTGGATGGGCAATTCCCTCATATCATCGACTACGAGTAGCTGAGAGGCGATTCGTATCAGCTCTATCATCATTGAAGATCGACGTCGTCAAACTGCTAGCAGATGGTTATGTTTATAGGTCAGGAGTTATGCTCCGCTTGTGGCGTTTTTGCCTGATATTGCCTTTCTCTGCGCGTATCCTGCATGCATGACGCTGAATCTGTGTACAACTCGAGGTGTGTTATATGATCTTCATCTAGTTATTGACCGTTGACTGCATTTTGGCTGCAGACGATATGACAATGTTGCTTTCCACAATGTTTCTACCGAGTAGTGCATGGCTACAATTCGATGAAACACCAAGCTCTCTAGTCAATCTTGAGGAGTTTCTAGTGGCTGTTCTTGAAAATGATTTAGTCAGTTCTAGTTGACACTGCTCTTGCTTATTATTTCTCCCCACACCGTGTACTTTGGAGAACAATGAAAAGATTTGGGGGTGTTTACAAAACGGCCCGGAGATCTCTATATCCTCAAAACATGTCTTTCATACTGCAGTCTTGTTTTGTACACACTTCCAAAAACGGGCAATATTCGCACAAATTACTATGGTTGACATCTTGTCCCCCTCGACGCTCCTTTTGTCAGAATCATGCGCTCAAGTTACATGCATTCAATGAGGACCAACAGAAATACCTCAAAACTTCTCCGAGTCATTTCAGGCGTACAACTCCAAAATGCACGCTCGTGCTGTAATCTTCCTTCGTGTTTTCTCTCCCTGGGCAGCTACCTCCCATTACGGGCACTGCGATGAGGGGCTTCTCTTCGCGCATCTGCGCAAGATTGGCAAACGACATTCTGTACCCATGTGTGCTTCAATACTTTCACACCAAAGCATTGGTGGTATGGGTCTGTGCGGGCAAAATGACAGTAAGAGAGGAGCCGACTGCTATGGTGTCCACAAGAAAATTGGAAGTTTTCCCAGTCACACATTTTGTCCACAAAGACCGCTTCCCAAAGGATCTCTTGACTAGACAGCTGATATCGATTAGACAGCATCCTGCGTAGATGGGTTTTAAGGTGGTTATCAGACTTACGCAGGGCCCTTTGCACGGTGTTTTCTCGCTTGCGTGACAGTACCTCAGTACTGTGCTGCTGTACCGTGGGTTTGGAAGACGTCGTGCTACAGCTGAATTTCCGAAGAATGAGGTTGTTCAACACCACTTATTACAATTTGCTGCATTTCATTTAGTAGTGAAATGTATCTTGTGCAAGGCTGCAAGCATACTGACCAGCGCTCCTTAACGAAATTGCAGGTGTAGCCTTTGCATAAACACTAAGGGAGTAATCAAACAAAGAGTCGAGCATGTGTTGACCTTGAGAGGATTCGAATTTAATGTGGATTTGGTCCTCTGCTATCGGGCTCGGATATTGCTTATATATATTGTTAGAGTTCGAGGACATACTCTTATTATTAATGCAATGATGCAAAGCCATCTCTTCGGCATGAATATCTTTATTGGGACAAATCTTCCTGTTCTGTATCCTTTTTTGATATTGGCGTCTTGATCTTGGTGGAAAGATGCAAGCCAAATAGCGTACCGTCGAATCGAGTTGGGATTCAGACATTGAGGTTGGCTGAATTGATAGAAGTTTGCAAGTTGATGTTCTAGATTTCAGCCGCTCATGCTTATGTCTTCTTTCGTTCTGTCTTGCCAGATATCACCAGTCCTCAGGGAATTCGGATTGACTTTGCCGGCGTAAGTTATTTTCTTTTCTTTCAGGGTCTGCTGCAAATCGATGGATTGAGATAATGCCGACTGCTTTGAACCTGGATTTCTAACGTCCTCGTGTCGTGCGACGGGGCGAGTGTCAGTGAAGGCGACATCAAAAACACACCTGCGGTCACCTCCGACCACTCTGAATGCTTTGAACAACGACATAGCCAGAAGAAAGGAGATTATTGCAAGCCATTGTGGTAGGACAACTTTGTCACGACAAGGGACTTAGTTTTCCATAGTGTTGTGAAGTAAGTCCGCTAGTAAATTGGATTGGCGGGTAGGAGGAACTTCCCGCGAGCAAACACAAAAGACGAAGGCGGCTCGTTATAAGAACAGGGAGCTTCGAACTCGGATCAATAGGCTGACAAATCTCAAGGATGGCTGTGCTACTGCCGAATGGTGTAAAGTTGATTACCCGGTTGTTGGAAGAGTTGTAATTTTGGAATCTGGGCCCTGAAATGACGAGATCTGGCGTTGAGAATGGCTGTTGAGACTTCTGTGACGTCGCCTTTTCGGTAACTGGCCAAGATATTCCAATAGACAATTGGTCACCTTTTTGGTGCTGTTCCCGGCCCGGGCCATTATTCAAAGGACATGCATCTATCACAAACGATAGAAAAAACGAAATGGTCATATTCGAATGTCGTCGGGTGGGCGAGTTTCGAGACGAAGTACACAGACTATGGATGTAACGCTTCTGCACCGGATGTTGTTCCGCTGACCTAGCTGGCCAACCACAAGATGTCGTGGACGTTAGAGCTAGCGGTTGTTTGTCTTACCAAGATTTCTCAAGAACGCCCATGATGCTCTTCACTCAAGCTAGAAAAAGTCGAGAAAAAACGTGGTTAAACGCGCGTTTACCGCTATCAACAGAGGGTTGTACAAAATTCGTCATTCAAGATTCGAGTCCTACGGCATTTTGAAACGACTACCGACTGCGTGGTTTTGACAGTTCCGCCTTTTTTTGCCTCAATGCTAATCTGGAGAGTCTGTCGATGAGGGGTGCATTTTGTTTGGTTTCCTGGATCGAGAAAACGCCGCCGCGGGAAGCTGCATGCATTGAACAGCCGAAAAAGTCGAATATCCCAACTTCATGGAATTCTCCTTTAGCATTTTCGGTTTTTTTTCTTTTGACTCCGGATTCTCCCGTATATAGTTTGTACAAACAAAAAACATCATGCTGTCATCAGCTGATTCGGCCTATTTGAAAAGTGGTTGGGGGAGAACCTGGATCAATTGGAGGAACTGGTGTCGAATGAATTTTGAGCATGCGCCTGAAGCGAGCAATGGGTTTTCAAACTAGGTTTAATCTATCTCGAACCTTCTTACCACTTTGTCAGAAAGTCTAGTAATGATTGCGGGACGGGAGTCGAGTCTGCAGATGCAATGGAAAGCAATCAAAGCTACCCGTCAGCAAACAAAACGTGCGGCTCTACCAGTGTATCACACAATATCCTATGCCATTGGGTCATTGCCCCCATTCTCCAAGCACAAATCTTAGCAGCGGGAGATTGATGAGATCTCGCTTGTAAGTATGGGTGTGATGGGACTGACTCTTCGTATTCGGTTTTGGGCAAATGAGATGCTGAAGACAGGTTTTGGGTCTTCGGACTCTGGCTCCTATTCGTTCATATGATATTGTCATACATCAGAGGCTTAGATTACTAATAAAGTAAGCAGATAAGGTGACTTTGCAGAGACAGGCCAAATTCCTACAATGGCAAGACCTTTTTGATTTTTTTAGTCAAATAGTATCTGGCGAAAAAAATTGCCCACCATACATTTCCTGTACGCTATACTCCAAAAAAATGAAGATAGGTCACAAGTCAATACCAATCCTTCTTTCTGCGGCGTACGCTTGGTTCTGTAAGCAGAGGTGCCATTTTACTACTATTCTTGTAATATACTGATAACTATTAGTGTTATCTTGCGGAAAAGAATTTGTGGTAGTATTCTGGGTGAAAGTGGATAATAAATCTGCTTTGCTACTATTATGCCGAGTTCTGAACTCCTCAATAGACTTGCTATGCAAACTAAACTAAAGTTTGCTGGAAGTCAAATGCTTGATGTCTTTTGTGTGTCGAGAGCATTTCCCTCGGGTCCCTGACATTAGCTGAACTTTTGAGATTTTGTGATACAAACTTTGTACTTGATCAATAGTATACCCAAAATAGGACACGAAAAAGATAGTTGCAGAACCTCCTGGCTATTTGATTGACTTGATAAATGATACTATGAACGTAACAGAGGTGCGTATTTAATTCGCTAGGTCGTATCAAAAAGTATTGAGATAACTTTTAGTGTTTGTAGATAAATGACGATTAATATCATACTTAACCGACTTAATTTACAAAGTATCCAAATCCAATTGCTACTTTTGAACTATACGGAGCTAAACCAAAGTCTGACCACGTGACTAAGTGTCATAGTCATGTGAGAACTTAGCTCCTCAGGCAACAACGCCAATTCTAGCCCCCAAAAGCAAACAAAAATATTGACAACGCGACACCATCGTCTTTGTCGCCAGAATCCGCATTATCAATAGCTTCATGCTCAGTTCCATTCTAAGCAAACAGGCAAGTGCCAAATGCATCACTCTCGGGCGTTGAGATACCGCTGGCCTATGGATGACGAACATGTCCCAGTGGTTTAGAGAAAGTTTGATGGTCATGGACGACCGGTGAGCAATGCAGGGCAGGGTGCTGCCTATTTTCGGCTGTCCGCCTCACTTTCTGTCGCGCGCCTCACTGCCTTCTGCTCTTTTCCTCTTTCAAACTGTTATGGTGTCTCTTGCAACGCTTGATTCGACTGTCGCATCTGTTTTCCAGCTCATGGTTGTCGTCGCAAGCCAATGATTACCTGCCATATCGTCACTGTCAAGAGCGGATCACGCCCGAGTTGTTCGCGGACCGCGCACTTCCCCTGACGGCGAGCGCTTGATCATCTTTCTCCTTTGCTTGCGAGATATATCCCGCAATCTGCCTCGCCCAGCGCTGGATTCGGTATTTTCGACCAGAGTATTGACGACGGGAATCGACGGGAATAACGACCATATTCTACAGTTGGAGCAGCTGGTCGTGAACCGCCCAGCGAGTTTATTGAACGCCCAGTGGTCTCGCTGCTTGATTACGATTGATTACGAAGCTGTGCTCGGTTTTGGCTGTTATTAATCGCTGCTCGCTGGGACAATTTATGAGCGGCTCCACAGTATTATTTCGCCAACGGGAGGTTGATACAGAAGCGTTTGTTGATCATAAATCTGCGGTCGTGAGAGAGCTCCAGCTAATCATAGTCAGATACGATGTCACATAACTCAGGTTATCATCGAAGTGGAACTCATGTTCGTTCAGTACGACCTCTTCTCCTCTTGCATTACGCGCTTGCACGTAGTCTAATATAGTCGTTTCGTAGTTTTATCCTGGACTTGCTACCATAAGTTCATCAGACTCGGGCCAGATATATGGAGCCACAAGGGGAATGGGACCTCCTTCCATGGACTTTCCACCGCAACCAGTGGAGATTGATGTTGATTTGAGTATTTCCAGAACTCTACCGAGTCCTGCTACAGCTGTAACAAATCCATGGGATGCGACTTATCCACACGTGGGATTTGCCGACGGGCCATATGGGTCGTCGAACATGGCGCGAATGCAGCAGCAAGTTCCTAGCGACAATCAGACCCGAGGCCCAACTCAAGATCCGCTTGCGATTTGGTATTCAGAAAATGATGGACCATGGGTACCAAAAGTTATCCCAGCTGCTATTCCTGAAGATGGCGGCCACTTGAAGAAGAGAGGTAACAGAACTATCGTGTCTTATGGATCCAGTTACCGGCAGCCTAACCCATCGGAGGCCGGCTCAGTTCCGTATGCTATCCCGACTTCGGACTCTGGCTATGGCACTAGGCGTAGCATAGGTAATGCTTCCGTCTTTAGCGCCGACGTTCCAGAAAGGGATCAGGATTGCCATAGTCTCGCCGGACATCTCGAAAGTTTCCAGCCGTTTCCTTCTTTTGTTGAGGTACCAGCCATAAGAGACACTCGTTTAAATGACCCTTGGAATACTCCACCAACGCCAGGACGAAGTGACACTAGTGGTTTGATATGCCCAGGTTGTAACAAAGGAGTAAAAACTCAGTCAGAGTTGAAGTGAGTATCTCAAGTGTTCATATAAACAGCTCAAACGAATTGCACTAATCACCAATAGAAAGCACGAGTTGCGACACACCAAACCCTATAAATGTCAAGTTGCGGGTTGCACGCGCCTTGAAGGGTTCAGTACTACAAACGACTTAGACAGACATATGAAGAGTAAGCATGCAGCGGCCATATCTGGAAAGAAATACCGGTGCAATGTTCCAGGATGCAAATCCAGGGACAAGTCCTGGCCACGTTTGGACAATTTCCGGAGTCATCTCAAAAGAGTACATCAGAATCAGCTGAGGTCGGATGAAGATTTTGAAGAAATACTACGAAAGTACGCAAGTTCGTGGCCCAAAATTTGACCGGAGCTGACACGCGATAGTGCTGAATTTTGGGAGGGGCCAAGTGCCGATATTAACAATGAACTGTTGCTTCCTCAGGCAGCTTCTCAAGATACTCCAAGAGCAGTAGAGCCTTCTAATGATGACAGTGCCTGGAAGCAAACGGAGTCGCATTGGACCAATGCACCTCCAGATCTGGACAATACACCGCATCCGCAGGCGGCACCTAAATCACCTGGATTGGATCTGTCCATGGAGAAAGTGGTTGAAAAGGAAGCGCCAGCTCCTTCAGCAATCTCGTCTTGTCTAAATACAGTACAGCCTCTAGAAGTGTTTACACCTCCAGTTCGGGACTCGGGGCATAAATTCACAGTAGCGAGTGTTTTGTCTCCAGAGGCTCCTGAAACGGCTACTCGGATATCGCACATCATTAATGTGGAAGACAGTTCAAGTCAGCTCTTGGAAGGTAAGACTATCAAACAGGCTGATCTTTCAGCCGCAGATGAGGCTCTCACCAAAGCAATTAAGGTTGTCTTATCCAGTTCCATTGCTCGTGAACCGTCCAATCAGGAGACCACAAGGAATATTTTGCCTAGTGGAAGACCGTCACCCTCAAATACATCTGATTCCAAATCGCGCCTAGCGGCTTCTTCCAATGGTCTTACGGATATTGTTAAAGCTGGGGGCTCCCAGCCTTCTAACCTTGAGATTGATCTTTCCGATGCACAGGGAAAGGTAATAGAAGCAATTGTCAAGACTGTTCGTAATTTTGGATACACATTGAAAGAACACCGGGAAGCAAGCTCCAGCCCTCCCCCCAAAATTCTTAACGCTGGATCTGTTGCAGGCAAGAAAAGCGACAAGCAAGTCATTTGTGAGATCTGTAAAAAGTTCAAAGGTCGACCTTGTGAACTAAAGTAAGTAATTCGCCAGAGCGCTAGAATATGCTAATAAGACTCCAGGAAACATATGAAGCGCCACAATCGGCCTTATGGCTGCACATTTCTTTCTTGCAGCAAAAAGTTTGGCAGCAAGAATGATTGGAAGAGACATGAGAACTCTCAACATTTTCAAATCGAGACATGGCGTTGTGACGGCCAACGTCCTGAAGGGGGTGCATGCTCTAAGGTGTGTTACCGCAAGCTGAGCTTCCAAGATCATTTGAAAAAAGAACATAAATTTTCTGATGACGAGGAGGTTTTGAGTGATAAGGTAGAAGCCTGCCGCATTGGCCGAAACTGCCAGGACCGGTTTTGGTGTGGCTTTTGTATAAAACTCGTCAGTCTGAGGAAAAAGGGCCTAGAAGCATGGACCGAACGCTTCGATCATATTGATGACCACTTCATGGGACGCAATGGCTTAATCGCTCAAGGTATTGAGGATTGGATTCCAGTCGATGGGAGCGGGAAGGTTAAGGAAACCCAAACTACCTTGGATGCCAGCCCTAGATCGGACGGCTCAAGCTCCGGATCATCTTCTTCGGGATCATCGGTTGATGCCGATATGGAGCCACCTCCTCGTCCAGCTGTTCGTCCAGCAGCGAAAAGACCACGCCCTGAAGAAACCGAAGCACCGTCACACAAGCGGCCTAGACCCAATGAAGCCGTTATCATCGTATGCGTAAGTGCTCGAATAAAATTAGAAAGTGGTTTCTTACTAATCACACAACAGTGTCAGTGCAACCTTCAGAATAACCCAGAGTTGAATGAGAGCTGCAGCAATTGCAGTACTGGCCATACGTTCTGTGAAAACTGCCAGACCGAGTATCGCCCCAAGGAGGACCGATCACCACCACATGAATTGCCATGAAATTACAATCCATCTTTTCTCCAGCTCATTAGAGCAGGTTGTGTTCTGGTCGATGGAGGAAAACTGAAGACCCAAATTGGGGTCAATAATATCCGTGACCATGTTTTCATTGGATCTTTTACGATTTCTTTGACATGTACTAGTAGACTCGGGTTCACCACAGGGTTTTGCAATAATACGGTAAAGGAGGGTTGGATTTCAAGGCAGGCAGATATCCCGGCGTTTGGGGCAGAACTTGAGGCTCTTTCTGTTATTTCATTTGCGGATAAGCTTAATAACGCGCGACCTACTTTTTACTTTCGCTTCCATCAATCCTCATGCTCATCCTCATGCCGCTCGACATTTCTGGCAGAGGTAGCGCTGGTCTTCATGTGGAGCACCATATACGTCAACGGTTGCATCCTACAGTCTTACCACTTAGCTAGGCGATGCAGTTCTGTTGGAGAGATACACTGAAATATGGAATTTGGTCCTTCTCGAACGATTTTGTATGGTCTTCAGCCGCAGCTGATCAGCGTGGTGCCTGATAGGGAGCCCAGTCGCTTATCGTGGCCCAAAGTGTAAGGGGTGTTTCGCGAGCAGGAGGAGGGGCACTTCTTGCCATTCGTTCCCCGCCCTTGCCAAGTCTCGCACTGCATATCTGCCCCCATGCTTGCTTTCCACCACCGCTTCTTCTTCATCCACTTCCCGCCCAGGAATTCGGTGAGCAGAGAGGCTCTAGCTCCAACCACCGACACATCACCAACCCCACCTCAACTCCATCACCGGGCGGAGCATGCACATATCATGTATAGTTGTTTGTGCCAACGAGTGAGGCGGTCTCGAAGACAGAATTGCCGCTGGGTGCTTGCTCTTCGTGTCGGGGAATGAGGAGACTTTAATCGACGGAATCTGGCCATGGAAGATGCCGTCTGTGTAACATGATCGAAGAGGGGAATGTGAGGAAAAAGCAACATGTCTTACATACAGAAGCCGCTGCCGCTGCCGCTCTTCCACACCGAAATGATGGTCACGATGACGCCTCCGGGGTCTCAGATAGCTATAGAGAGCTCTAACTATAGCCGTTGCAGTTATCAATTGCTCATTGTGGGAGCCGATTGAGGACGATCACTATAAAAGAGCGCCACCAATGTTGAGAATCATCCCAATTGCGGACTTTTGGCGAACCACAATCCTATTTCGGGGAGGGTCGCATTATTGGGGGCTTCTTGAGAGCTGACGACCTCCTAGCAAGAGCCGCCTTCACCTGCCCTCGGAATTGAGATGGGAATCCGCGCCCGCAAATCAGGAACTTCACGTTTCGAATGACACGACATATTGTACAGGAGAACCAGTTTCTGTCTTCCCTCGTTTGGTAGTCGGGCGGTGTGAACAGAAGACAGCGGGAGTTGTCCTCTGGTGTTGACAGTCTGAGTCTGCCTATGGTTGCCTCGTTTGCCTTTTCTATGTGGTACGTCGCTACCACATGTGATTGGATGCGGACTCTGATTGTCCAGAAGTCGTCTCTGTCAAAAGGAAGTCCTGGGCATTTTGATGCATCAGTGCCCGGCATATGCAGCAGCTAGTTAGAAAGCTCGTGGATTGGATTACTCTTGTATTCCCACCCCGTGTCTCTAGTTATCCTCAGAGTCAGAGGCGCAGCATCACTTTCTATTCGCTTTCAAGGTCCACCAACACCACCCCCAAAGGCTTGCATATGCAGGGGTTGACGAAGTTTGTTTGCATCCTTTCAGGGATCCAAGCTTTCGAGTCTGAAAGTTGAGGCTCTGCTCCAGACCGAAACGCCGCTTTTCTGGCAGAGCAATAATCGTTCTTTTGCAGAGGTAACTCTGTGGGGCTTGGCTTCTTCGTTTTCTTTATCTTGTCACATTGTCCCATTGCAATTCTTGCACAACTGCGCCTGCCTAATATCTTGACTTCGCCTCGAAGCTATCATTCCTCTTTGCCCTTTCAAACTTTTTGTGACGTGCTTGTCGCGTCTTGTATGTATTGTGCATAACATATAACTATATTCGGTTTGTACTTTGTTTGTTCGAAAGTTCGTTCCAGTTAGTGTGTCCCAGATTGATAACCTCCTCTACTCGGCGCGTGCTTATTCTGAGTCAGAACACCGACTGTCGAGTAACAAGAGCAAACAAACATACTCTTAAGCTTCTATTGGATCCCTAAAAATCCTTCGCGGATCAGCCATCATTGATACCAACTTTCGAGTCTCACAACCTTGATACGCGCTGTTGGAGACCGTTCTGCGACCTTGGCCTTGATCGGACCACTATTCAACAAACATGCCCTATAATATTACTCGCGCTTCGGCCTGCCACGGCCCGCCATTCTTTGAGGACTCCCAATTCTATTCTCAGGAGACCGCGTCTATAATCCAAACGGCTTGGAACGAAAACATCGATCCATTACTTCAATCATCTCCTACCAGCCGGAAAGGTTCAAACGAAGACATCACCATGACTTTACAACATCAGAATCCTTCACTTGAGAGGTTTCTGATGCATAACGAGAATCATTTTCTATACGACACTGAAAGGATGCAACATCATCCACAAGGTGTGCCTCATGCGCTTAACAGAACGGTGGCCCCAATTGCATCACTTCCTCATACACCCGGTCACAGGTTAAGCTCTCCATGCCCATCCCATGATCCGACTTCTTCCTGCAGCAGCGCCAGAACACCAGGTTCGGACAATGAGTGGGAACCGCAGTTTTCTCCCATCCAGTATTCCAGAGACGAGTTTTATCTTCCCCAGGCGACATCATTCATTGGTCATGGTTTTCCGGAATGGACCGGCGGAAATCAACAAGCTTTCCCGCAGCAGAATGGATTTCCATGTGTGCAGATGAGCCAGATACAAGGACTGCCAGATCTTCAACCAGAAGAGGCAATGTACGAAACCATTGACGAGGCATATAATTCAATTGAGGTGAAGAATGTCTATTCTGTGAGCGATAATCAGATTATGCATCTGAAGCACGAGCATAGCATTGCATACAACTACCAAATCGATGAGGGGATTGGAGCCTCAATCAAGGACGAAGGATCCTTGCCAGATGTCGCACCTGCACACTCACACTTGGATGCCATGTCCGAGGCCGACGCTGATGGAGAATTGGAAGAAGATACTGAAGTCATTCCAGAGCCTTTATCAGACACAGAATACACACCAAAACGCTCTCGCGCCCGCAAAGCTCGCTCTCCGCGAGCATCTCCTCAATATCATCCCCTCAAAAGTGGCCGAATCCACAAATCATCATCAAAGGCACGTGGCAACGTCATTTGCAAGCAATGCGAGCACGCACCATTCAAAGACACCACTGCTCTCCAACGCCACATCACCTCCTCACACACCCGCGCCTTCATCTGCGTTTTCAATTTCGCAGGTTGCGGCGCAACCTTCACCAGCAAGAACGAATGGAAACGTCACGTCTCGTCCCAACACCTCAACCTCACCGCTTGGGTCTGTGATATCGGCACCTGCGGCAAGAACAACAGCAGCGGCAAGTCCAAACCTGCGGAGTTCAACCGCAAAGACCTCTTCACCCAGCATCTGCGACGCATGCACACACCCTTCCAGGTCAAGCGCAATAAAGACAAGAAGAATCTCGAGTGGGAAGAGAAACTTAAAGATCTGCAGAAGGAGTGTCTGGTTATGAAGCGCGAACCCCCGATGCAGCTTGCATGTCCATTGCCCGGATGTGGCGCGTATTTTGAGGGCCAGGGCACTTGGGATGATCGTATGGAACATGTGGGCAAGCATTTGGAGAAGGCTGCTGCGGGTGTAGGAGAGTGCGTGAGGCAGGAGGATGATGCGTTGCTTGTTGAGTGGGCGGCCAGAGAGGGGATCTTGATGAGGAAGCCCGGGTTTAGTGGGTGGAGGTTGTGTGTTGATAATGGGAATGGGAAGAAGGACGAGGATCGGGATGCTGATGGGGAGGAGGAGTTTTTGTGATTCACTTGTCTTGATCATTCGGTGGTTGTAATATCTGTTGTATTTTTTTCATTGGGACGGGATGGAGATTGTGGATGGGGTCTGGCTGGGCTTGGGAAGGAAAATGGGGGAATTGTGTGATATCTTGTTGGGGATTTCTTTGGGGTATAGGGTATGATGTTATGACACTTTAGATAATGACGTAACGTTTCAAATGTATTCTCATATCTTTCTGAAGATACTGCATTAATGTCATAATTGATAATTGCGAGATTTGGAAATATCCACACTTCTTCATTTATCATGACGGTGTGCATATTCCCACATCTCTTTACCATCGACATTCCTTTCAGCCCTCTTTCACACCTCAGGAATTCATCAACAGTTCAACGAGTTCTAGAACGAAATCTGTCGATTCTGCCGACTAGGATCTACATGTCCATCGCAGCGCACCATGCCATCAATTTGAAAAGTCGAAACACAGCCCCCACTCAATACCCCCTTAACTCACATCACCACTCGTAAAATACCGTCCAATTCAAACAATGAAAAGTACCTGCATCTACACCTCGCACTTTTCGAAGATTCAGCCCCCACCATCTACCTAGTTAACTCACAGCCCCAACAATTACCGAAACAACATCCCACGAACAGTATAAGCATTGCAGAATCGGGATAAATAATTCAATTGGTATATTGGTTTATGGTGTAAGTTTTTGTTTGGTGTTCTGGCTGGAAGTATGCCTGCATAAAAGTCTGGCAGCTGTCGGAGCTAGGTGATGTACACAGCCACAACCCATGGATTAGGTACTGCCTAGGTAGGCACAAGTTGCACAATGTTTCGTGGGGGAAAGAGGAAGATGATAGGGAATAGAATTGAGAACGGAATTGAGGAGGTAGGATTGGAAATGGGATGTCGTAATAATTGACGAATTGGGTGAGGTGGAGGTAGAAAGGAGGTCGTAATTTTCAGCCAGTGGAAGTGAGTGGCTGGGATAGCCTTATATTTTAGCGAGAAAGAGAGGGTGAGTGTAGATCACAAGATTAATGTGTTGAAGTAGGAAATGGGTTTGTTCGATATAGTGGTAGGATTTAGACTTTGGTGATGGTATATACGAACAGGTAGAACCTCTTTCAACGTCGATGAGTTCGGCTAAGCTTTTAGGTCAATTGTATCACTCTTTACTATTTCTAGTGTACTGATTTTAGCAAAGGGTCAGTGTCCAGACAGCAGTAATATGATCACTCATTCAACTTAAGTGATGAATTATTGATGTCTTCAAAGCTCCTTTGGAATCGTCTTGGCCTTATATTACAACCCTCGCTGGGGAAATTGGAGCTAAAGTAAGGCATCAAAACCACACCATCAATCAACTGAGGCAATCTCAACACTAAAACTTTTCACGTCAATTCGATGATTGTTTCTAAGGCATCCACACAAACCACGATTCGCACGACAAGCTTCGTGATCGCCATCACTCCAAGGTAACTTTCGCCTAAATACCAATATCGGAAGGATCCAGACACAGTAGTATTATAATTCACCTTGAATCCTATCGGAGAACAATCCGAATCTGGGGGAACGGTGGTAAGTCGTGCAGAAGATCGACATGGAGGATGGATGAGATGGGATGGGGGCGGAATTTTGGACCCCAAAAGTTGACCTGGTATCGTGGTGATAAGGCAGAAATAAGGGTTGGTAGAGCAATTTGAATATGGAGAGGGCCGCTGAGGTAGATGAAGTTGTTGGTGGCTTGTATGGTATTTGGAGCTTGTTGAATAGGGAGGGATATGTGGTCATGACACTACAGATTTGAAAGGTTGTGGTTTTGTGATTTGCAGATTTATGGAACTGGTTTAAGGTTATGATGGTGTTGGGGATGTGGATGAATTAGTAGTATCCTGCCAAAATGCAATTGAATACGCAATAGCCATTGCCATTTAGGAGAAAATTGGACTTTGGAACTTTATTTCTAAGCTCTAGAGGAGTAATTGTCTTGGAATTTGGTTTCTTTCAACACCGAAATTACATCAACTGTAGCTTAAAAAACTGAAAACAAACAACACCTTAACACCCACTTAAGCACATCCAAACTCCAACGCAAAACCCACAAAATAACCCAAAATCCATCTCCCTCCTCAATCCTCCCTCAAAGCCCTCTCCACCCCCCTCAACTCCTTCACCTTCCCCTCCAACTCCTCCTCAATCCCCACAAACTCACCAAGCACATGCGCCATATCCCCCTCTCGTCCCCTCCTTTGCATATCCTCAATCTCCCCGGGAACCGTCGCCGCAACCGTACACAGCCGATGTCTCTCCCGCAACCTAAGCCTCAGTGCCGCGATCTCGTGTCTCAGCACCTTCCGGCTCCTCAACAAAGCCGCGCGCTTCTCATCCGTGTCGACGACATATTGATAAGTAGGCAGTGGCAATGCGGGGGTTTTATCACCCCCGATTTTGAAGGTCTCGGATCTGGTTGTGAAATTGAGGTGGGAGGGGAGTTCTTCAGCGGCTTGCAAGTAGCAGCTACGAGATTCGAAGTAGGCTTGACGTTTTGCGGCTCGTGAGTGTGCGGGGGATGACCCAGTGCTTGTGAGGGACTCTTTGGATGAGCTGTCGGGCTCGTAACCGCAGTTGTGAGGTTGGCGCAGGCTTCTGTGCTTCCCAAGGGATGCGCTTTGGGTGTATGAGATGCAGTGGGAGATGTGGGAAGGGTAGCAGCCCATTTTGAGGGGTTTCGTGAGAGCCGTGATGTAAGGAACGGATCTTGTGGAGACTTTTGAGGTGCTGGTTTTCTTTTGAGACCAGTTGTTGTGAAGTGTAGTTGTGTAATCGGCGATGGATTGTAGATGTGTCGCTTAGCGAGACGTTGTCGAATGTGTTTGTTTTATTGACGAAGATGTTGGAACTCCTGAATGCTTTGTGTTCAACGTGTTTAACTTTCCTGATGGGTATGCTGTCAATTTAAAGGCTTTCTGAAAAACTAAACCCGTTAGTCCTCGACGCTAAAGTTGAATCGAGATCGAGGGGGGCCGGTCACGTGGTGGATGCTCTCGCTACGTCGTGGATAGCGTCACATACTGTCATATTAATCCAGCTAATTCTTTGACCCACCAATTGGCTAGTTCGGAAGAGTTGCATATTATTATCAGTTGTCAGAGGTATTCATATCTTCGTGGAAAGGTAGACCGCATTCGAGAGGGTTGAGACTCCGCGAAATTAAGAAATACCACCACGGCACATCCAAAGACAAAACCCCTTATCGTGAAAACAGTAAACTTCGTCAACAAAGCTATTCTTGTATTCGACGTCTTCTTTGTAGCTAGAAGAGTCTGAAAATATCGAGCTAGGAGTTGATTGAATTTCGATTTGCCTTTGGTAAAAGGTTTAATACAAAAGATTACTCACCACTTAGTACCACTTGTTTGTGGCTTAAATATTGTATTAGCTAATTTGAAGGTTTTATTTCCCCATGACGGGCTGAGATAGAAGGAAGCGGATGCATGATACCATCGTTGTTGATATATCGCAACTCCACGGTTGCAAGATGTTGCAACCTCAGTTGAAGCGGCTTGCCCAACATTGCGCTCTTTCGAAGAAGACAATAGTCTTAGTTCGTGTTTGTATAAGTCAAATTTGGAAACATCGGTAATATCACTGTTCCCGATGGTGACAGAACTCTTTTGGCCTTTTTGTCACAAGGTGGTGCATTAAATATGGCGATGGAATTCGTTCGCGAGGGAAATAGAGTCATATGGCACCCAATATACTTAATAAGACCATTGACTTCTAGAGATTTCGGTGGTTTAACTTCGCTATTACGGCAGTCGCTCTTTCATATTCTATCCAAGAGTGTCGGTACTCGCTCCTGCCTATTAATCACTTGGAAACGCTCACCACAACGATTTTTTACAACTCGCCCTCTTACAACCACCACCAAGAACAACTTCTCAAGAAACACATCTCCCAGAATGGGCGCCTCCCTAACCCTTCTCTCCCACCAAATCCACCGCGACGAATACACACTCCTCCTCATAAACCAACGGATAACATATTATGAGACCCTCCTCCCAGGAAACACCTACCCTTTCAAACCCACCGAAGTTCAACGAAAGATAACTCGACTTCAAAGAAGGCGCGCCAGAATGCTGTACGTGCTGGACAAGAACACGGTTCAATATCATGAGATCAAAGACACGAGGGGGCGGAAGAAGAGAGAGAAACAGGAAAACGAGTGGAAGAAAGCGGAAGAGAAGGATGATTGGTATGCGCTTGGGAAATTAAGGGTCAAGGAGTTGGCGAGGAGGAATGCGGAAGGGAGGATGGGTGGGGGTAGTGATGGACGTGGATTGCCGGTCTATACGGGTTGAAGTCATAACTGATGGGTACGGAGGATATTTCGAAAGAGGGTTTGAGGTCGGAATCTACGCATTGGCGTTTGGACGGCCTATCTTGCGAGTTTCCAAAATGTATTGGTACATATGTTCTGAAATCGAAACTTCTTGCTGATCGACGGCCATGTTCGACAATCAGACTAGGCCAATGATCTCAAGTTTCTACGTTTTTTGTACATGAGTGACTATGAATGGGGCTTTAAATCATTTTGCGTAGATAATGTGTAAAAATTTCCAGGATTTATCCGAAACTTTCACGGAAGTCTTTTTCAAGTATTAATAGCATCTTGTGGGTAAAATTGTAAATCAGAAGACCGTTTTCCTACCATAGTTCCGAATTCTTTTTAGCAACTGAGAAGCCTAAGTTCTAACGAAATATTACTCGTCTTCAAATTACCCTTTTGCTAGTTTAGACATTAACAGGAAAGAATCTACAGATAAGTTTATTTGTCGTATG